ACCACGCTGCATTTTAGGTTTTGACGGTAAACTGACCCGTCTCAAATGCTGTGACACCCTCGCTGCCCCATGAGTGTCCAACCAAACTTGCAATTTCTATGCTGGGAACCATATTTGGTGGAATCAAACAGAAAGAACAAGGGGGAAAAAAGGCAGGGCCACAGTCATCCCCAAACTTAGGACTCGCGACTAATGGTCATAGGCGATTTGGTCCAGCCTGATGTGCCGTCGCATGCTCGTGTCTTGTTTGAATGCCACAAGCCGGATCCTGTTCACATGCACGTGCCACGAGGGCCTCTGAGATTCGGGCGGCACGCCGCCGGAGGGCCATTTGCGGTCCCGGGGCGTTTCACCGACTCACTTTGAGTGGCAAAGAATTCGGACCGCCCTTCTCACCGCGTGGAGCCCTCAAAGACGGGTGCTACCTTTCCTCCAGTAGAGAGGTTAGAATAAGGCTACCAACTTTCTTCTGTAGCCTATTTTAGTAGGGGAACCCTCCCAGCCAAAAAAGAAACGGTACAAGGGCACTACAGGGGGACCTACCTTGTCAGGACTCGAGGGGCGAATCCGCGTGAAACGGGAACCGCCTGGATGCTGCTTCAATGGCCTTCCCAGTGTTTTTCAAGACCTAGCTTGCTTTTTAATCCACTAAAATGACCAGCGTTTCTAAGTCGAACTCGGGAAGTGAGCCGAGCTGCTTGCAATCCCCAAAATAAAAGCTATGAGTGGCTGCATCCATCCTGAAAGAGCCTTGAGCTCGATCAGAAGAAAGATTCCCATGGAATACGTACTGCGTCAAAAATCGGTACACATGGATATCTGGTAAGTGGACACATGGACTAAAACCTGCGGTTCCCTGGTGGATTAATTTGGACCCAAACCCAAATGGGTGGTGCCCCGTGGGCTGATTAACAAAGCCCATGCTCCGGTGGGACTCAGTTCGCCTGCAACCGTATTCCTACTTGCCACCCGACTCATTTGCTTGGTCACCAATGGCTGCACGAGTGGAATGCTGCTGTTGCACAAGTCATCCACTGGACTGGCCTTTGGGCTGGCAGGGTTCGCCTTGCTTCTCCAAACCACGATCATACAGCAGGTCACCAAATGTACGAAGACAACAGTGCTGGTGGCAAGTCAAACGCTGTTTTGGCCCGATTCCTATCTTACCAAGACCATTGTGAACAACGACTGCTTCACGCGGCGCCTCGTGTGAAGCCTCTTTCTCTGGTGGTTCATGATGGGCCACACACACATACCAGATTCCCCATGCAATTTCCAAAGCCCATGAAAGCCATGAGAATGACAACCCATCTTGCTATGTCTTTCGCTTCTTCACGACCCATCTTGCTCAGCAAGCATGGCCCGGCATGCTCGTCCACGGCAAAGAGTACACACCGCGATTGAATTGGTCGATCCTTTCAAAGCAGACCGCACCGAACTCGCCAAAGGCAGGATATTTTGTCTGGCCAAGTAGGTCGGGGCAAGAAGATTGAAGATGTTTAAAAAAAAAACAGATGGGCGAATCCAGCAAACCGATTAATTCCCCAGGGAGTTGAGCCGGTATGCTCCATATAACATTATACCTATTGCATTCCATGGTCACAACTCAAGACAAACAGGCTTGTTGATGGCGACTTGATCAGCGTGCCTGCAAAAGACTTATGAAACTGAGGTGAGATGGGATGCTGATCAAAGAAGAAGACCCTCTCACTTATTGTCGAGGCAGTTTAATTTATTGGAAAATATTGCAGGCTGTGGCAAGCCTGATTCGTAGATCCGTGATCAGGGGTGAGTGCTTTCTATGCATGAGCTGGGGAAAAGGGTGCCCAAGCAAGAACATGTGACTGGACAAGAGACTCCAACTAAGGCCGCCGTAGCGCATGTCTTGTCTCCTTAACAGAGTCGCAAAGAAAACCATCCGTCCACCTAAAAGGGCTGTGATCCCTTGAGCAAGGAACCAACAGGACTTCCCCCGTGCCGTGGTACAAAGTCGAGCTTCCGCGTACTCAAGATACATTCATTGGTCGCAGAGTGACATCATTGAAGTTTGGCCCAGCCATAGCACACAGAGACACACATGAGACAGACTCCCCGTGTGCTTCCTGCCTGTAAGAAAATAATACTTTCGGCTAGCCACAGCTTTGATACCGTTGGTACAACCCCGAATTGAGGCGGCTTGCAGCATTCATGCAGGGGGTAGCCATACATGCCAGCTTCAAACTGCCCATCCCACCACATCCTCTTTTTGTCATGGGTTAATATGATACTGCAACAAAGAGCGTCGTCAAATTCCTCCAGATATATGGAGTAGCATACGTGAGGCATAGCGGTGTTGAAGGAACCGGGCCCACATATGGATCCCACATCTGTTTATGTAATGTAGCTTTCTCTTGTTCAGACCGCAGAACCGTGCAGGCTCAAAGTTTCTTCCGCTGCTTAGCGGATCTGAGAATCAAACAACGTCGGCTGGCGTCGGTCCGAGAAAGGCAGGTGAAGGGGATCTTCTAAGTTCCACTTGTTTTTGCGCATTTGCTGCCGGAACTGTTTTACAAGGAAAATCACGCTGATTTGCGCATATCGGCACCCATTCCAGCAAAGGCCACGTTGCTAATGGAGGCAACGATGGCCTTGTAAGATAACAGCATTGCAAATATGTGATTGTTCTGTCCTGAGGGAAGAGGTCGGAAGAAACTTTGCGAGTAGTCCGGAGGCAATGAAACCATTTTGGAATCGACCAGCTAAAGCATCTCAATTCTCAAGGCGACTTTGACGCCTACGAACAACCAATGTTTAGATCAATGTTCGCACAAGCACAGGCCTGTCACTACAAAGGGCTTGATGTGTCATTTTTGTCCTCATTGGGAAACCAAACATGAACAACCATATTTTTGTTTTACAACCCCCAGCTCAAGAACCATAAGAATTGGCAACCCTCCCCTGGGGGTGGTATGTAATGGTCAAAACAAGGCGACACAAAACATCAGGAGAGTGTCCAGTCCAAGATATTGATATGCCTCATTTGTGCTTGGGACCACATCTCTCACTCTCTCTTGTCTCTCTCTCGCTATGTCACTATGTCACTCTTTCTGTGAACCTTGGTCCGCAGATGCCTCAGCTTACCATGCAATCTGTAGCAGATTGTTCCAATGCTGTGTTGCAAGCGCTGCAGAAACTGTGTATGGTAAACAGGCATATCCTGGTGCCCCTGATGGAGATTCTTGACTCTTGGATGTGTGCTTTAATTCTTGCAGTGTCCCCGTTCAGCGGTGTGTGTGTTTACTTTTTCTCCCAAGCGAGGCTTTTACTGGGGCCTACATACAGTGAGGGGTGATGAATCCGGGTGCCCATGGCGCGCACATTGTTTTTTTGACGCAATGGTCTGCGCAGCACTATCCGATTTCCCTGGTATCTTGGGCACTTCTCGTGTTTTTGGTATGTCAGCCGAAGGGAATATCAGCTTCACCGATAGGAGTTGCCTTCTCTGGAACCTACGCCCGGGGAGCTGAATTTGCCGGAACGCCCAGCTGGACCAGAAACTAACCCAAACAAGAAACACGCAACGCACCGGGCACCGAGTTCTTCTCGTCCGGCGGGTCGGATCAAGTAGTCCCCTGACTTTTCGGGGGAGCCTTGGAATAGAAGAAGTTACCCGACAAGCGAGCAAACCAGAAACACAACTTTGCAAGAAACAGAGACACGCAAACAAACACAAACACAGACACACAAACTTTGGAGGCTATCCCAAACACTCCCCGCGACCGCTACAACCGCCAACAATTCATTTGAACATGTCGAAACTTACACATCCTCCACATGTGCTGTCTAAGGGGCCAGGGCATTGCAGCTGGATTCTTGGAAACCAAGCTTGAGACTCCGCTAAGTCCTCCAGTAGAGAGGTTAGAATAAGGGCACCCTTTTGGCACACGGTCGAGCGGCGCAGGTAACTGGAGCATGCCGCCCCACCACCTCTAGAAGGCCCACAGGGCCACCTAAGAAGATGGTGATTACAGGGGAGCTTTGCAACATCCCCGTGGCCACCCCACATGCAGCAGCCGGAGCTGCCGTGAGACCCCTGAAAGGACATCGGCGACAGCTCAGAAGAGCCACACCATCTACCCACATCCAAGTAGAGGCCGAATTAACAAACTGTGCGTTATGCACCGTTCACCAAATGAATAAAAACAAGGGCGATGATCGGATCATCAAAAGCAAGCTGTGAAAGACCGAGCAACGCCAGTTGCCAGCACAAACTTCCCAGCAAGTTGGTATCAACAGCACTGCATCAAGTGCCAGGAGACCGAGTCCAAGCCCGGACGGGAAAAACACCACGCAATACCTTCGCCAAAAAGGCGTTCAGAGGAAGCAAATCTTTCCCGAACAGAGCCAATCCCCCGCGCAGATTGGCGCACGCAAGGCTAGGGAATCCTACACGGGTACCGCAAGTGTAAGGGCATCGGTGTGCAGCATGGGGCCGCCCCATGAAGCCAATGAAAGGAAAACCGCCTGGAAGAGGTCACAAAGCTGCCAGTAACCAAAGCACAGAGGAAGGCTGACGAGCCTGCTCAAAGAAAACAAAGTAATGCCCGCCCAACAGCAGCATCTGCACTGCGTCAGAACTGCCACAAAAAATACAGGTTGCGCTATCCGGTGTGGAGGTGGTGCAGAAAGCCGAAACGTTCTCCGCAGCGGAGAGCAGGTTGCCGTCCAGGGTGAGGGAAGCACTGCAAATTGCTGCTCGTAACATCGTTCCGCAAGCACAAGGTAGCCGCCCGCTGGTGAGGCAGCAGCGATCCAAGGAGTTGAAAGGTGCATGAAATTCATCAGGAGCCGGTAGAAATACACAACATACACCACACAAACTCGACGATGACCAGAGGAACGGAGCAAGGCCCAGGAGGCTCAGCTCCAGGAACCCAACGGCTCAGTGGCGCACTCTGAGCCGAGAGGGCTTAAGGGCACCCTTTTTTTCTGTAGTCTATTTTAGTAGACGAACCCTCCCCCAAAAAAGAAACGGTAAAAAAGGGCACCGGGGGACCTGGTCCACTTTCTGGGCTGGGCGTCCCACTAGGCTTAGCCTCGCTCAGGGCATCGTCAGGCTCTGATCGGTGGTGGCGAGCTCCCGATAGATGATCTTGGAACTGAGCCTCTTTCGCGCCTTCTGCACCACACTCACCACAGGCTCCTTAGAGTTGGGAGCAACTTGGGAGCAAAGTGAAGTTGGGTGAACCAACACAGAAATGACAATATTCAGAGTATGTAGCAATAATAAAATGCGAGCAGAAATAATAAAACAACTTATCAAATGCGACCTGCACCAACACAATCAACATGTAAGTAGCAAGTTATTGGGTGGTGAACAAAGCCACCACTTGGAGCCTGGGGGTCCTCGACAATTGGCAGCTTCAATGCAGTTGTCAATTAGACATTGCCCCCTTGCAACAGGAACAGCTGAAGAGAAAAATCGCAAGAACTACCAGTCATGGTCCCGTCTGTTCATTTCATCAGAGAGTTGGGTTCCGCAATGTCCAGCAGGTTCCGAATCCTCCTTTGGTGCCAAAACCCGGCATCTTATGCAGGAAACGTATATCGTATGGCCTTTTAGTGTTCGCCTAGTCTGCGGCAGTATCACCTGAGCCATCTTGACGAGTTTCAGGAAAACCACCCACAACTGCCTAGGTCCTCCAGTAGAGAGGTTAGAATTAAGGGTACCCTTTTTTCGGCAGTCTATTTTAGCAGCCTCCCCCAAAAAAGAAACGGTAAAAGGGCACTCCTGGGGGACCTGCAGTACCCTTCTTGGAGACCAGCGGTTCTGGGCAAAGGACACACGCGGACATGAGCCAAGTGGGCGGATGCCCCTCTGCAATTCGTGCCCGAGTTGCCAGCAGGTCATTGACGAGCGGTTCATCCTGGGGGCAACTGGCTGCAACGTGGCCATCTTGGGGCCATCCAGTTGGGTGTCCAAAACCCAACCTCCATTTGCTTAAGTCCCCTGGAAAACAAATAATATATTTTCAGTAGTGACAGATTCCCTTTAAAATCAACAAGGGGGGGGGAAACAACTTAAACAAATGCAAGCCAAGGAACCCTGAAAGTGGGTGGCGGCCTTTGAGTAAAACAAAACGCACGCACCAGTTGCAGCTTGGCCTTCGATCTGCACTGCCTTCATTCAGGGGACTTTCTTTGTGGCCATGGGTCAGAATCCCGTACCCCCGGTGAACATCCCGTCCCCACTAAAATAGACTCCCAAAAATGGAACCATTGGGCCATATACTGTTACATTCAGCACTCCAACTGCGAGCCCCCTTTATTCAGAGCCGGTGCCGCAGAAATTCAGGAACTCGGGCTTCACGAACAGGCTCTAGCCAAGATTGCCCCACAAGATCAAAAGCCAGGGAGCCTTCTTGACCTCTGGACTGCCAAACAGCCATAGAAGAATCATTGGGGGGAGGTGGGTGGGGTGTCCCCAATTCCATTTATCTAGTCTGTCCCGTAACAGGGAAAATGGAGCCATAAATGGAGATCTCCAGAAACCACCCCCCTCCCCCAATTCCATTTCTAGGGGGTGGGGATAGTTCAAGTAACTCAGTCTGCGCCCTTCACACCAGTCGACTGCCTCATTTGCACTGGATGGATTCGTCCACTCGAAACCATGAGACCCATGGCCCAAAACCCGCATCGTGAGGGGGCCGATTTCCACCAGCCAAAGACAGCAAGCACAACACCTAGACTTCAAAACAAACAAACAAAAACGCAGCAAAGAAACTATCAGGGGTCTGCAAGTTCTCAGTCCGTGATGTTTGGCTCTTACAAACCAATTCTAGCACGAGCGTGCACCGGAAATGAACACACACAGAAACACCGCAGCTGCAACCTGGATCCACTTCCTGAGTGGAGTCAACGACACCACCAAACGATCCGAAACGAACGATCCCACGTCCAGAACCTTGGGTCGAGATTTCTTCCGAAAACTTGCTGGTGCTCAGCCGGGAATGAGAAATGGAATGAGCCCTATAAACCATCCAACTGGTGGTTTCCTTTAAGGCAATAGGTTCATTCCTAAATCCTGGTCTCGGTCATGCCCTACTGAGCACCAGCAAGTTGCTTGCCGCATCATGATCTTCCCGATCTCAAAGTGCCAGGGATTTGAAAGAGGAACATGCGCGCCTTGTGGATGTGGATCTTGAGCGGGAAATTTTCGGGTGTCAGCTCCGCCCTGCACTCCTAGCAAGGGAGCTGAGCTCAAATCTGGTGTGTTGATCCTGGGTGCGGGATAGGATCAAAAGAAAAGTTGGTTTGCTTTTGGCCTCCCTTGAACCCTTCCCAGTTGCAAGCGGAGTTCTTACCCCATAGCCCGGCGAGGAACAGCAAAGGAATTGTCGGCAAAGGGCAAATGAGCAGGGGACCAACTAGAAAAAACCCTACTGCAAGGGGCAGGGTACTTAGTAAGTGGTCGTAACCCTCATTATAACCCACTGCTCGTGGTTATAGCCCACTTCCCATGGTTATAAGTCTCCCAAGTGGGTTATAACAATGGCTATTGCCCACTTACTCAGTACCCAGGCCCCTTTAAGCAAAATACCCTGTCCGCAGGGCTGGAAACTCTACCATCCTTTCCACGCATTTCAGAGAGATCCTAAGACTCTTGGGTGCTTGCTACTCAGAAAGGCCAGTTCCCATTGGACATTTGCAAATACTTGTTGTTGAATCACTAACCCGAAAAGAACTGCCAGGATCACCTCTGCAGTGCAAATATGTTTGAGCTGGCATGCCTCTTCTCGTTGATTTGGCTTTGTGCTTCTCTGTCTGCAGAAGCTTTCAGATTGAGAAAATGTATGGCCGGGGAGAGTCGTGGTACCTGAGATTCTGCTATGCAAACCATTAAGTCTCTCATTTGGGCATGCCGACCCAAATCTTTGACATCAGGAAAGGGCTTTGTTTTGTGTCCGCTTGAGGATGCACATTGAGTTGCAGCGGAGTGGCAATTGGACCTGGGATCAATCCTCCATTGGCCGTTCTCAGTAGATCTGCCCAATAGAACACCTGCACTGCACCCGTCCAAGCGGCGTACCACCCCACTTCGCCACTACCAACCAGTCACCCCGCTGCCCAGCAGTCCCACTTGCGACTGAGGCGGGGGATGAAGCCTTGCTCGTCCCAGACTTGCAGTAGCTTGTTGGACTTGTCTCGGATGGTGAAGTCCCGGCCTCGCGAATCTCGGACTTCACTCTGAGCCGGCCAGGTTTTCGGACTCACTCTCCCTAAACCCTAAACCCTAAACTTTTGGACTTAGGGTTTGGGGGTTGGGCTTTTGGAATTAGGGTTCCAGCCCCCCCCCCAACCCCTAAGCCCTAAACCCTTTCCTAGAAGCCCTCCAGAATCCTCCCCCAGGATAGGCCAACCAAATACCAGTGAACTCCGATACCGTTGACTTGGAGTGATTGCCAGCTTCACACCCCACTCTGCAAGGCTTCTCTGGCAAAGAGCGCAATTGTCACCGAAACAGGTCTCGAAGAAAGGTCATAGTTCTGACCACCTGACCACCTGACACGGAGTCTGTAAAAAAACAAAGTAAATCTAGCAACACCCGGGAAATTTGGGACTACCCTACGCAAATGCAGTTTGACTGGATGCCCCCTTGCTCTCACACATCCCTTTTGAAGATTTCCATGGTCCAGCTGCCCTCTTGCCAAGAGGTGGGCTTCAAATCCACACCAATCCAAACCAACTAAGGGTTGCCTGAATAGCGCTCTGGAGTCCCATCCGGGGGTACGGGCACCGCGAGTAGCTGCTCGGCTTCCTGGCCGAAACGGGTTCCTTGGTTTTTTTTAAGGTTTCCCTGGGTTCCTTTGGGTTTCTTAGGGAGCCTTGGACCCCCCTCCCCCTCCCCCTTGAACGACTTCCGCGCCTTCCCGTGACAACTGCAGGCTTTGAGTCTGGAGCGCACGAACCACCTCCGCCTTGGGGTCCTTCATGTTCTCGTGCCACTCCTACGTACCATTCTCCCGCAGGCAAACACATAGAATCTGCCCAGAGCCCAGTTGAGCCACAAAAGGAGCAAAGCCACTTTCGCTAAGGGTGGTTCCCTTGGATTCTATGTAGGGAAGTGGAATCGCTGGGCTGTTCCAGAACCTCATTTATCGTCCTGAGAAACGCATGGAAGGGGCCTCACAAGCCATAAAATTCCTAGAAGGACATCTTGTTTTTGGGGGCGAGTTGACAACACACCCTTCCTTCTTGACGACCCCCCCCTGTTTTCATGGCGTCACAAACTAACACCAGGGTGTCAACACAGGCGACAGCTAAGACAAATGAACGAGTTTGCAGCATTGATAGCTTCGATCAGCTTTAACACGAGAGAAACATGTAATTTTGATCAAACCCCACGATCAGCCCAGCTGGAAAGGCGAACAACTTGCTGGTGCTCAGCAGGGAATGTGGGAATGACCCCTATACAGCATCCCCTATGCTTTCCTTTAAGGGAATCCCCAGGTTCGCAAGAAAAAGGCAAGTCTTGCTACGGGTCAGCGCCATTGCCTCTTGGGACAGTTCCACCGCTTGAGTCGGTGCGCCCACACATGCGACTACAAATTGTGCATAGTTGTTCTTCACCAAACAAACATCCAATGATCCTATATAAACCCTAAACCCTAAACCCTAGACCCAATTGGACCCCAAATCTACAATATGTCAAACATGTTGGTAGCGAGGAATGCACGGCAGGCAGTGGCGGTCCATACACCCCTACTCAACTCCCCCAGTTGTCCAACTTGAGAAGCATTGTCTTGCCTTCAGCAACTTAAACAAGTGATTTCCCCCCAGATTGCTCTGCTCTGGAAGACGCTTTCAATCCAAAACAAATCTTACTTTACCTTGCTCAACCAAGCCAAAAAGCGGTCCGGCCCATTTCAAAGCACCTCTGCTTTGGCTGTTGTTTTAAGGGGAAACGTACTGGCAGTCCCTACTTGGATACACACAAATTTACCACTTTCGCTCCTTTGACCAGCCACTCACCCCTCTCTTTTCGCCAGGTGGCAACCTCAACAAACTCGTCCGTGGAATCCTCCGGCAAGTAAGCGGCAGGCAAGTGGGGGCGTCCTTTTTTTTTTCCGGGCGCCCCATTTTGGCATGTTTCCAAAAAAACCAAAGCTAAACAAATGGAACGCCAAAGGGAACACAACCCAAACCAAAGGGAAACCATCTGATTTCCTTGAACGTGGTCCCAACAAAGGTTGGACCCCAAGTCGTGCGTTCACATTCAAAGAAATCTGCGACGGTCCCCGAGGGCCCCAACTTGGGCAAACAGGGGATCAGTGCTTGCTGAGTGGACGGTTCCAACCGGTTTGATGCCCATACTGTCAAGGTTAAGAACACGCTTGAATTGGCGGCTCCTGAAAGAAAACAACCCTCTAAAACAGCGCATCTTAAGGCACTTCAAACCTCATACTTCTAAAGACACGTGTTGATCCCTGCCTTGACAAAGCTCCTGATTTCCTCAAAGAAACCCGGCAAGGCTTGCTGCGTTTGACCGCTCCCCTCGCAACAGATTGACGTAGACACTGCCCATTCAGGCACATGACAAAATTCCTTGCCAAAAACTCGAAACCGGAAAAAAAAAAAAAAAAAAAAAAACAATTCAGAGTCCAATGAATCCAACATTTAACAACCATGATCATGTCCATCTACAGCCACCAAAAGATCTCAAATTCAGCAGAATACAAAGGAAGGTAGGGAACAACAAAATAATTCACGCGATTTGATACACGTGCTTGGGAATTCGGCCAACTTCGGCGAGCTGCGTCGGTCGATGGTTGGGTCTGAACAAAGATCTCGTTCTAGCCACACGGGTGCGTGACATGGGGTCTCACCATGGGTTACGTTTGCGCCTGCTCATGGCTCTGGATGACGTGCACCAGTACCAGCGTCAGCACCACCAGGCACCCGATATTCAGAAGGATCCTGCGAAGTTCTTGAGTCCCTTGAGTGGAATCTTGCCCCATAAGCTTGGAACCCAAACTTCCAAGCTGTGCTCTTAAAGTTGCTGGGGGGGCTTTCTGGAAAACCTACAGGTCCAGCTTGACTGCGTTTAAACATGAAACCCAGGCGAAGAAAGTACGAAACACCCGAAGTGTCATTGGCATAGCGGGGCTCCAGGCTGACAGTCAGAGAAGGTACAGGGGAACATTGATCCCTCCTGTATCCATGTGTTCTTGCCTGACTGGAAGCAGCTTGGGTAAGCTTGACATGCGGTTTGGCTCCACATAGGACCCACATGACACCTGCTGAAAGGGGTCTGACTAGTTCTGCACAGAGTCGTTTCGCCTTTAGACTATGGACAGTGGACGTCTCTCACTGAGTGGTAGCGGATCTGGACAAATCAAGGAATTTGTCCAATGCAAGCCATACGTAGATTTGGCATTCCTTGCGCGCATCACAACTAAGCTGGCAGGCTCAACTCATGTTGACATGGGATCAGGGACCCCGAAAATGGCAATGGTCTTCTTTGACACCTCCCGAATGTCTGGAATACGTTAGAACTTGCAACAACCAAAGCGTGTTATGCAAGGGAAGATCAAGCCCCATTCGTCTTCGGTTTCCTTCGTCACCTAGCTTCAATCCATTGTCCACTGGCTTTGCCAAAAAAAGAGAGAGTACGAACAGCCCAAACACCTCCTGGTCGTTCCTACCCTCCAAATAAACATCTGCACGCCATATTTTCAAATAAAACACGCAAACACATCCAAACAGCATCATCCTTTGGCCATTCAGCCTGGCGCATTTTCCGACGAAGCCTCCTCCCTCTTTCCGCTTTGGCCGAGCCACAGCGCCAAGTGGGTGGTGGGGGGCGACCGTTCCGGTCGCGCTAGATTGGCGGCCTGGCTCGCGCGGAAATAATCCAACCAAACCGAAGGTTAAATCAGCCAACCCGTTCCCCCTAATAATACGCGCGGACCCCCCTAAAAGCAAATCAGGTCTGGGGGACAAAACATATTTATTAGTCGGGTCCTTTGGCGGTCGACCGGATTTCCTCTTTGGTCCTTGCCCAAATGGGCTCTCTTCCCGGACACGGAAAAACACCACAACCGCAAATTTCCGAGTAACGATTTTAAATAAAACCATTCAAGGTTGCTTCTTCGGTTTTGCGGTTGAACAGTAAAGGGCGCACTTTAAATTTAGCATTACAAGTCAAGAAATAAATGCAAATTAGGAAAAGGTAAGTATGAACTTAGAATTTGGTATTGGGTTGGTTCGAGGAGCTTGGATCCTGGACTACTTGCCCCCGAGCAACGCTGAACGCTGGGGCAAGCAATCCGCGAGTTTAGTATTGGTTTTGAATTGGCCTATTCTAAGAGTAGTATTGGGGAGCCGGCGGTCTGGGAAACACTTATTTTCCCAAATAGCTGAAGGCTATAGGGGTTCTCACTTCTAATAAAGAGGGGAAAGTGATTTGCGAGATTGACGGCTGGGTGCTAGGAGGCGTGCAGTTGGTGGTGCAGATGCTGTTGGGGTGTGCTGTTTGGGGAGCTGTTTGTGGTGCAGGTGACGGGTGATGGTGCTGGTTGTTTGCAAGATTGACCGGATGCTTTTGGGCATGCAGTTTGGGGTGCTGGTGCAGGTGCTGTTTTGGGAGTGCTGGCGCCGGTGCGGGCGCATTTTTACGATGACGGCAGGGTGCAGGGGGGTGCTGTTTGGGGCTGCTGTTTGGGGCTGCTGTTTGGTGCAGTTTGGGGTGCTGGTGCAGGTGCTGTTTTGGGGCGTGGCGTTTTTGCAAGATTGATGGCAGGGTGCTTGCGGGCATGCAGTCTCGGGTGCTGTTGGAGGAGTGTGGGCGTCCGGGGGTGCTGTTAGAGGAGCTGGTGTGCAATCCTCCGCCTGTTTTTTGCTACCTGGGTCTACGCTGGTGTATTTTTTTAAATAGGGTGCATTTATTAAAAGGGGGAATGGATTACCGTCCATGAGTCATGGACGGTATGGGAGACATAGGATTCCGGGAAAGGTCCAGGCGCTTCAGACGGCGACAGATAACCCAAGAAACGCCCAATATGAGGCATGAAATGGTCTGGACCCTGGTCCTTCGCTAAGTTTGGTTTGAGCAATCGCATCGGTCAGTGGACATGGACCCGTGGACATTGACATCTGGATTCATTTTGAATGTGTTCCAAGCGTTCAAAAACTGATAGCCATCTCCACATAGACTATACACAAATGGGTCAAAGCAAACACAAACATGGCATACATAAACTTGTACATTCGCACATGTACACCTACATACTATATACAGTTGCATTTCCGCATTAGGTTGGGAAGCGTCCCAGAAATGCCTGGGTTCCTTTAAGAGACACTCGCACTATCGGATCGCGATCCCAGTGACTCAGGGCCTTTGCTATCAGCTGGTCGCTAGGCTAACCGACCGCCCCGGCATGCCGATTGTTGGACAAGATTCTGCTAAATGGCAAGAAGCACACAGAGACGCGACATGTTTTTTCCGGTTCCTTGAAGGACGTTCAAACTTTCGCAGTGTTTGAACCTGTTTGGCCGGCCCTTCTTCAGCCCCAAGGTCCTACATAGCAGCGTGTCTTTCTTTTGGAAGGAAAATAGACTTCCAACACCCTCCTATCAGCTTCCACGATTCTTGGAGGGAAGGTAAGTCAGTATGCTGTGGGCTATTACTCGGGGGCCCACATAGATTGAATGGGGCGACAGGAGAGACCCCATGTAAATACTCTAATATGCCGTTCTGGTATAGCCAGGCTTGCATAGCCAGTGTCACTGGATGCCAGCTGGGATGGGCCCGGTATGCCGCATGCCCCCTCTCCGGCCTGCGCGGTGCTGTAGGTCCAAAAGGCCACTGGCACGGCGGAGCCTGTGAAGCGCTTTACGACAAAGCCGCTGAAGATCTCAAGGGCTGTGGCAAAACGTAGCCCTTTCTGAGACACTCAGTGACGGCTGGTAGAAAGGTCATCAACACCGAGAAGGTCCAAATAGTGAACGACAAGAAGAACTGTTAACAACTCTGAATGGAACACTCTTTTAACTCCAACTGTTGAGAATTGCGCGGGCAAGACTACTTTAAAATGAGGGATGAGGATGCCAACAAAACAAATCCAGGAGGATTCCGGGCGCATTCTAGGAAGGATCTCATGAGATTCAGTGAAGTGTCACCCGCGTCCATCACGTAAAATCCTCTTCACTTTAGCCTACTGACGAATTGCTGGGATTGACTCGGGCAGCCCGGGCAACCCTGGAACATGGCTTGGGGCCAAAATGCTGACGGGTGCGAAAGAAGTTACAAGAGCAACATTGAAGAACTCATTCGGAGAGGGATTCGCTATCCTAAGTTGACATCAAAACAAAACACTGCAAAGATCCACAACTCCGTCACAGCAATCGGTCCTGTGACTCTTGATCATGGCTCCACTAAATATTAATTACACCAACAATACTCAACCAAAACAATACTATTGCAAATCACCATAAATTAGAGGGCATCCTTGTTCCCCTACTAGCAACATCTACAGCATCCTGCCAGCGTGAGTCTTCAGCGTTTTCGGACATTTTCTTACAGTACCCTTCGACAAACATGAGAACCGCACATGATCCTAACCGATACCCCCAGAAATCGGAGCAAGCAACAGCGAAGTATCCACGAACGTCAATCGAATAATTTTCGCTTCTTAACCCATATCATCCAATATCAAATGGCTGTGGGTCAAAATCAATGGTACCATTTTGGGGGGTTTTCGGTGCACCACCCATTTTAGTCTAATTTAGTTGGGATTGAATCGGATGTTCACTGGGGGTACGCTTTGGCTTTTGACCCATGGCCAAATGGTTTAACCGACAACCAGCGGCCCAAGGTCACCTAGGCAGCCGATGGCGTACTCGTGCACCGCCTGACTGCAACAGCGTGGCACCAAAGCTGGCCTTTGATTGGCCCTGGGGACGGATGAGCCGCACCACTGTGGATTGACGAAATTCTGCAGCACTTGGAAACCATGGTTGAAAGCATTGTGCATTGGTATTTACACGGGAATCATCATTCCTAGGTTTCTTGGGTATCTGTTGAGAACTAGGCCCAGAACCTCTGAACCGTACCTTGAAGGTAGACCCGAAAAACAAGAAGCAAATAAGGGCCCATAGTTTCCCACAAAAACAGTTCCAATGCGAAAAAATCAACTATTGAACTTTTGCCAGCTGCCAGTCTCAAAGAGCGTTTCGAGATCCTGGCTCTTGCTCTGGGCAGGGCAATTGCGGCTCACAAGAACTTTGAACTTTACTGACAGGTTTTTCTGGCAGCTGAATGTCGTCCCTGGACGGCCTAGATGTATGTCCACCCCGGCTGACTTATGCTGGCTGTGCAAAAACTGAGCCCACAGATTTCACTCCCGTGCTGAACGGTTCTGCTTTTGAGGTGGGAAAAACAGCTTGCGCTGAATTGGAGACCGTTGCAAGGCGTCATTTGCCGCGTGGAAGCGTTGCGCTTGGTGTAGGGTACGCTTGTGAGTCTTGGGTCTTGGGACAAATCGTGAAATGCCTTGCAAACGGCCAGCCCGCAAAGACAACAACCGTTTTCATGAATATCCAGTCCGACTTTGCCTCAGGATTCACAAATCTTGGTTCGTCTTCTCTTTCTGTTACACAAGCATGGACTTTGGATAATCTCGCATTGCATGACCATGTTCTCTATTTGTCTTGGGTCCTGATTCTGGGAGGGCAAAGCCGAACTCAGTGCCAAGGAGGGTCTGGACATTACCCATCGAGCATTTGACTTCTGGTTTTCTGAATCTGTTGCGATATCAACCATCATGGGCTAACTAAACATGAGCCCAGCAAACATGGCTGTCCCGTGGCAGTTGATCAATATTCCTGGTTCCGGAAAACACGAGACAAACCTCATTTTGCGAATCTTTCACGACTCCATCGCTGCGCCCTTTTGTTTGGAGCGTGCGCTGGCCATTGTTGCTGCTGCAGTTTTGCTCGCAAACGCAGTAGATTCATCCTTTTCGCGGATCGTTCGCGAAGCTTGCTCCAGATTGCCCAACCAACGTTTCGGTTTTGCACCCTCGCCAGAAAAGGAAGGAACACAAGGCTGCAAGTAAAGGTGATGCAAATCCCCTTAGTATGCCTCTCAGAAGCTTAGCCAAAGCTTCTGCGAACAAAACATACCTTTTCCGGACTCCTTCACGGATGGTTCGCGGGCAAAAACACCTGCAGTGCTATGGTTCTCAACATAAGTCCTTGCAAGGACCTTTTGATGAACTCCCATTTGTTTCACTCAGCGCGGCGCCAAGGTTGTCATGGCGCAGGCGTAGTCAAAGACCTCTGCAGGCAAAATGGGCAAGCTGCGGGCCATGAACACGATCTTGATGCCTCAGCCCGGGTGCTGGGAATGCCAACTCGGCCACTCTCGTGGAACCTGATTTGAGGCTCAGTCATTGAAAGCCATTTGCTTCTTCAGGCATCCTCTGATTTGGTTTGGTTGCCAAGCTGCTGTAGTGGGTTCAGCAAATTTTGGTTTCTGACTCCCATCCCTGAATCCCAATCCACTGTCATAAAGGACTGTATGCTCCTGGTGAATGAAGGGCAAGCAAGGTCGAGGCCACCCGCGGCTTGTGTAGAAAAGGGCCAAGGACATCAAGCTACCCAGAATGGGACTGCACTGCGTGGCCACTCACAACCAGTAGACAAATATTCGAGGGATGACCCTCAACCCTCGGTGAGCATGCCGACCTTGACCTATGTCATCCTCATAATGCACACCATTCGATTTCGAAGTACCATTTGCTTCTCATCAGGCTTCTTGTTATAAACCTTGCACGATTTCACGGCAGAACAATGTGAAATTAACGTGGCTGCTGAAGGGACTGCGAACAGGCATACACATCCGAGCCAGGCAGAGAATCTTACCCTTGTATTCGTTGCTGTGCAAAGAAAGTGGCGTCACAAAGACTTGGTGACATGAACAACGAGGGTCCAGGATCATACCAGCATCTAGGTCTGGTTTTGGAGCGAACTCACGCACGACTTACATTCTTGTAACAATTGGTGCCATTTGTTCTTGAAGCGAAGCCAACCTTTGAAAGCGGCGCACGACTCCGAGCTCACACGCTTAGTATTCGTGGTATGCTCCACGCAGCTGGGCATTGATGTGTGTGTATGCATTACTGGAAGCTCTGCTTGTGAGCATGTTCTATGGCTTCGCTCGAAACCAACTCAACATTCGCATACGAAAGCGCTTAACACGATCTGATTCGGGAAGCTGGCGCATAGGATCTCTCTATTTGGAGACCATGCTGCCATTCTAGCGACCTACAAGTACCACCCGCTTCCATGGCAAGGGAAGGGGGACACGCCATCTATTTCCAGTAATAGATTCCATTTAAAACCACAAGGGACATAAACAAATACTCTTAAGCAAATCGAAGACATCGAGCCATTTTGGCACAGGGACAATTTGACGTGAGATGCTTTAAAGCCGAGCGTCACGTGCTGCATGTTGCACATTTATTTTAGGGTACCGGCTATGGGCACAGCTGCCTATCAGAAAAAATGAGAGCCAAGTGTGACCACATGTGCGTTGCGTTGCCGTGTCGTCACCAGCACCCATCGCAAAACTGGGATCAATATCAATATTCTGGATCAAACAAGTATTCAGCGATTGCAGCAAGGGAAGCTGTGTCCAATGTCCTCCTTCCCGGTTGAATCCGCACCAGCCGCTCCAGCAACCGCAATGTGGCTAATACTTTCGCAATTGGCTGGAATTGATATTTAGCGCAACTGGAAGTATGATCGCCTGTTGTTTTGCGAAATGCGACGTGCAAAAACGCCTCACCTCGCATGCCTTCGCCCGGGCGAAAGGCGAAAGCCGATCCGCCGATCCAAGCCAGGCGGCCAGCTTTGTCAATGATGCCTCAGTGCTGGAGGGAAGTTGCCAAATTTTTTCGTTTGACCTATGGTTGAGCTTTGCATCACATGGTTCCACGCCGAATTTAAAGAAGCCCTCGTGCTGTGTTCAAAGCCACAAAGGGTGATGCTCCATCAAGGCTTTGGCACTCTGATCACCCTTCAAGCCTCTCTGAGTCTCGCAAGCTAGTCCTTAGACTTGTGCAATCAACAGAAATGAATGCAAGGCAGTAAATGACCTCATTGTTGGTCCCATGCTGACAGGGAGAAGGAATAATCTCAGCAACTTGGGGAGGGATGTGAAAATATCATGCGAACCTGTGGCTACTGCGTTCGTCCTTAGGGGTCATGCCAACAGCACTTCAGTTTTAGCCCGACGTTCTGCACATGAACTAGCGCACATCGTACAGGGAAATGCGTATTGCTCTTGTCATATTCATGCCATAGACCCATGTTGGAAGAGCAAAGGCTCGGTCTCGTCTGCATAAATCGTTCCAAGATGCTACACTGGGAGGGAGTGTGAAACATGGGGGGCTGTTGATGGACCCGTTTGGCTTTCATTGTGCGTCCTGTGGGCAGTGATTGTTTTGTGCGCGGGTTCTTATTGCTTTCTGCCTGCTTGCGCCATGCCTACGCCGCCTACGCCAAGAACGACTACTCCCACAAAAGCGCCAACGCAAGACCAAGTTGACTAGACGCCTGCCTATGCGCCTACGCGACCAACATGCAACTTGCCCGTACAAGCGTAGTACGCGCAGTGCACTTTGGCAGATCCAGCTGGAACATCGCAACTGTCAGCGCAAGTGGAAAGGAAGCACGGGACCCCAGGGTTGGATCTTGGTCATCATATGCGAAGCCTGTGCGAAATCTGCCTGACCGTGATAAATTTGGGAACTGGCGCACTTGTTGGACACGCAGGGCTTCGCAAGCCGTCAGACCATCCTCGCAGCAGCGCTTCACATCATTCAGCCCTTCAGAAAAGCACATTGCCACGTGACATCTCAACTTATCGAACCGTCGCCTACGCACGCCCTTGGCCCTGTCCGTCAACTGCCTACGCAACATTTAGAACATGTCGCCACGAAGAAAGCAACAACGCTGCCCATGTGTTCATTGGACGGGACTCAAAGACACGGCTCACCACTTTGTCACTCCCCCATGTGTATATCTACATATACACCTTTTACATCTTATTATATGTACGTTTTTGAACAAGACCTGGGGTCCCTGATTTCTTGCCACTGCCTCACCACCTGCTGTCTGAATATTCTTGCCAGGCGACGGTTTAGCCGCCGGAGCACTCGGCTGCCCTTGCCTGTAAAGCGGCGAGCGACTGAATCAGTCGCTCATGTCCCTACCAAATTCACCATAAACTACCCTCCTGTCCACTAACATGGAACTTCGCAGGAGGTTCCTTTGATTGTTGCAGGACCCCTCAGTCAGGTTCCATGTTACTGGACGGGAGGGTACTGGACATGCTGACCGAACCTCATACGTCTGCAGCTTGGATGATATCGGTGTGACTGGGATGCGCTTGAGTTGTGGGCTTCCAAAGCTGAACACGTCGGACCGGACAAGATTACGGAAGTCTTTTGCCATGCTATGATCTTTGATGAGACTTGACTTAAACACAACTATCCCTCAAACTCATGCCGTCCAGTTCAGCCCAACGCTCAAACAGTCACAACTTATTTTCCAGACATAAGCGATGTACTTGGGAAGAAGCGCAGGCGCTTGGAGAGGGCTCATCACGCTCAAATAAACTAATTTAAAAAATAAAAATAAAAAAAAAACAGCCAGAATAGCTTCTCGTGGTTAGATGTTCTAAAGGCATCTATCCATGTGAATCTATCTATGTATCCATCTATCTATCTGTGTCAAATCGTCACAGCACCGGTGTCACTGCTTTCTGCACAGTGGGGCCGATCTTCTGTTCGAACTTGATTGAACCATTGTTGTGTAAACGCATCGCCCTGGATTTACATACCCCCTCCAAACATGGCCATACTTGGCAAAAGCTGAAGAAGCACATCTCAGCTTCATATCCCTGGTTAATAAGCCTGGTTGATGCTTGAATGGGCTGTTGGATAAATCCTAGTCAAGGGAATGCTTGAGTAGGGATACTAGGAGCAACTTACTATCCAGGTCAGTCATCCACGCAGTGGTCGGGAGACGACCAAAGCGCGAGTGACACAGGAATCTGAGGTCCGTCTACCTTGTGCAGTCCAACGCCACGTAGTTTGCTTCGATTGTTCCTGTTTTTTTGCAACTCTCGCCATGGCTTGTTGCACTGGGCGAGTGGCTCGCCCGCCGGGCGTAATCGTGCAGAAGGCTCTTTCCCAGGGCAAAGGCAGTCACACCTTGGACGGGCTCGACCCGGCCAAGGCTCTGACCCGTTCAGAACCCCAATGACCAAGCTTGAGAAGTCCTGCTCGGCTTACGTGGCTTAGGAACTATGCGTGGAGGTTTCTGAATTTTAGGAGCATCCAGTCTTCAAGTCAGCAATGAAAGAACATGTGATCTGAAACCGTGTTCTCAGCGAATTGCTTGCAAACTTCCCGAAGGATTCCATGAAGTTCTGAGGCTGGCTCATTGTTCTACTCAACCATGCAAAATCCCGGGTCAGCGAAATCTGAACTGTTCAACAGATCTGAAGGAGGGAAACCCATGAGAAGGGCACGGCTCTTGACGCTTTTGCCCTAGAACACACAAAAAAACAATGACTTTTGTCGGCTGCTATGGCTGCCCTTGATGATATCAGCGCATTTCAAAGAAACCAGGTACAACATACTCTACACACAGCTTGTCCGCCAACAACAAATGGCGTGATAAGCACAAGAAATGCTCCTCACCCGTTACCCCTCCCCGTACCCCTCCCTACAGGCTCGAATCCGGACTTTTCCAGGGGAGGAGGGGGGGCATGTACCACCCGGTGATTCCAAGACGTTCCCTTTTCATAGATTAAACCCTTTCATACGAGGGGGGTACAGCTACGTAATAGCTGTCACACATCCCCAGCATTTCTTTCGCATCCAGCGCAACATCACCAGCATTGCAGAATGACAATCCTGGAGCACAGGAGCAGAGGGTCGAATAAAGGGAACAATTCCAAAGGGAAACTTGCAAAGGGTAAATTCCAACGCGAGAATTCCGATGGGAGAATTCCAAAGGGACAATTCCAACGGGAGAATTCAAAGGGGAGAACTCAAACGGGGAAAGTCCAAGGGGGAAATGTCCAAAGGGATAGTTCGAAGCGGAGAGTCCTGGGAAATTCCAATGGGCAAACTTTAAAGGGAACATTCTCCGGGGGTCTGGATTTGTTGTCTTTGTTTCTCTTGGTGTTCCTCGAGGATTTTGCAATCCTCGCCAAAAGTGCAAATAACCCCAAGAACCCCCCCCCAAAAAAAAAAGAAGAGGCAGGCCCGTCTGGACGATTTTGGTGCTTGCTGTTTTTCGAGGTTGTTTGCACTTTTTTTCCCAACACATACCTCGAGAAAACCCACAAACACAAATGGCACCAATGTGCTGAACCGCAGGCCCCATGCGCTGAGGTCCCTAGCTTAGGGGGTCATGGGGTCTGCCATTTTTGGTCTTCTTCAGTTTTTGTTCAAAGGGAAATTTAAAAGGGAAAAGTCCAATGAGAACACTCCAATGCGACAATTCAGATGGGAGAGTTACAAAGGGACAACTCCAAAGGGAGAATTCCAATGGGAAAAATCTAAGGGAAAATCCCGAACGCAGGCCTGTATCGTCTCCGGCCTGAGCTGGAGGCGTTAGTCAATGGATTTTGGGCAGTTTCCTACATTTGTCTGCTGGTTTTGCACATCTGTCGCTGGACAAAATCCATTTCGCACCACTCTTGGAAACCATGCTTGAAACCATTGTGTATTGGATTTACAGAGGAATCATCAGAAACCGGCGTTTTTTAGGTGCAGGAATTCGTCCATCCACATTTTGAAGTATGCAGCCAGGTCTTAGCCACCCTGCAGCTTGCTGAAACGGACAAGGCCTCAACCCCGGCTTGAACGAGATGATTCGGATAGCCAGGCCACTGCCGACCCAAAGCCCACTGAAGACCACCGCGAAAGCCACAGTGCCGCCCACAAAAGCCTCACTCGAGTTGCACACAAGCAGGGTGTGTGTGTGTGTGTGTCTTTTTTAGGAAGTGGACCCCCCCCAAAAAAAAGAACAAAACGGGCTTCGGTGTTCCTCTTGGTTGCCCTGTAAACACAATAAAGGTGTACCGGGGTTGGCGCTGCAACTCCTCTCCATCCCTGCATTGCGAGACCAAAAGCGATACTTTCCCGGCGAGCCTGACCGGACTGCAACCTTGCGAGCTTTGGCTCGACATAGGCTCATGTCATGACTTCCTTTCTCTGTTGCCTTCTGCTCCCCTCTAAAAGTTTAACTTTTAGTGGTTTAATGGAAAACCCATTAGTTGGCGAACAGTTAAAGTCCTATCATCCAAGCAAAATGCAACAAAGTGTTCAATATGCCCATACCCTTCTCCCAAGAAGGCAACTGTGTCCTTTCTCCAATTCAGAACATGAGCCACAAGGGTTCATCCCATAAATTTCGTTTTACGTTGAGCTTCCTCCCAGGTCCAAATGACAACCCGCATTGTATCGGAAGCCCATGCAACTGCCCAAGGCTGAAGGCGCCTGCTTTGTAGGCCAAAACTAACATTTCCAGTGGTCCCGACTGCGCTTGGCCCGGTACGCATCAGTACGCGCCTCTCCGTCGTTCATCTCAGTGAAAAGCGGGCCAGAGAGAGCCATGATGGGAAACACCGGCAGCATAATCACCTCAGCTTAGGTCCAAGCTCAGAGAGGGTCCAACATTTCCTCGGTTGCTTTGTGCTCCCCTGGTAAAAGTTTAACTTTTAGTGGTTTGCTGGAAAACCCATTTGTTGGCAAAAAGTTACAGTCCTAACATCCAGGCAAAATGCACCAAAGTTACCCCATTTTTCAAACCCAAGGGTTCATGAGGCTTGCAAGACGGGAAGCTCTCGTTGCAATGAACCCTGGCCGGCACGAGCACTACAAGCCTTCGAAGGTGGTTAGTGTCCAACATCTTTATGAAACCAGCTCAGAATGGGCACTCAGCAACCCCGGGTGCATGCAGCTATCAGTAAGAGGAAGCTATTCAATATTCCCCAAACAGCATCCAGTGTCAGCGACACCATTCGAACCACATATGCATCTACTTCTTTCAGTGTGAAAGAGACCGGCACCCTGCATCAACAGTGGCATCCTTAAAGTGTTGGACAAGAAAGGCAAGCCATGTTTCTCCTGTTGACCCAATCTGCGCATCTCACCATGAGGTTCTGAGGTTGTCAGCTGGCGCTCTCGCTGATTGTGCCTCCAGGTGGATCCATCGCAACGGTACTGACGGTTCTGGATCTAGTCGCTGCTTCAGAAGTCAGAAGTGCACCTTAGAACCTTCCTGCTCACATGACTATGGCCAATGGCGAAGAAAACATGGTTTAAGGAATGCTGAGCGCGAAACGAAACCAAATGGCTTTTCTTGCTGGTGCTTAGCAGGGAATGAGGGAATGACCCTCATAAAACCATCACTTGTGGTTTCCTTTATAAGGGGACCCTGGGTGAATTCCCTCATTCCCCGATTTGTTCCACCAGCCTTCGGTTGCGACAGAGCCCGACTGCCGCTCAAGGCACCGGGAGGATGGAGGAGACGAGGAAAAGCATCACGGAGGACCACATGCCCAGGGTCTTGCACCAGTCCACAAAGCCTCGGCAAAAGACATCCACTGGGTTGGTAGGTTGGATGGTTGGTAGGTTGGTTGGTTCCCTCATCCTGAACTGACACATGAGCTGTTAAAAATGCGATTACCCTTGCGCCTTACCTGTGACTGAGTCCGCAGCCGCATTGTGGGAAATTTAGTGAGACCTATGTCGCAAACCATAGACGGGATACTTCAGCATCTGTGGGGAGGGGAAAGCACCCCTGAACCACCATGGGCACAACTGCAAGACAACACCTGCCGGATATTTTGTAAGGGAAGCCACAAGGCAACCGATCCCACGTTGATGCACTCGCACCAAACATGTCATAAGGAGCTTCGTCCCAAGGAGCTTCCTCTAGAAATCGTTGGGGCTCCATGGAAATTTGCTGCGATGGAATTCACATGCAGCCGAAGCCCTCTAGTACTGGGGTTCCAGCGACATGGCTTGGATAATGTAAAATCGATGGAGGGAGCTGAATCGCAACAAGCACGCCGAGTTGCAAAAGGATACATCATGTACATACATATTATAGGACAGATATCTATTATATATATATATATATATATATCTATATACACACTGTCTTTGTTCACCCTGCCACTGGCTTCCAGTTGCACGTGCTTGAAGAGTGGCAGGGAGGACCCCAGGTTGGGTGAGCCACAGGTCAGAAGTGGCCTGGTGGTTGGCTGCTTTGCTTCCGCCCAATCCCTACACTGGCCGGCCACAAATCCAGAGACCTAGACATCGTCAAGAACAGCAGTGCATCACACACACACACACACACACATCGAACGCTCCTTGTCGTCCTATCCCACCAGCAAAACCACAGGCAACCCAAACAACAAAACCTAAGACTATCAAGAGTGCTTACGGCCCGTGGTCAACAAAACCTGGTCACCCATCCCAACCGTTCAATGTGGATCCATCATTCTCTGAGCGGCAAGATCGATACATTGCAAGTAGGCGAAAATACACATCTTAAGAAACAGGGAAACTGCCACAACTGTGGCGAATCGAAGCTTGTGCAAGGCTGTTTCCTTTTCCCACTCTTTCAGTGTGAATAACTAGCCCTCATTCCGAGTTTCTATCATGCACGGAGGAGTCGGTCTTTGACAAAAAGCTAGCATGATTTCTACTTGATACTGTGGATGGACGAAATCCTGCACCACTTGGAAACTATGGGAAACCATTGCTTCTTGGTGTGTAAAGGGGAATCATCATTCCAGGGTTTCTCAGGTGGTGCAGGTTTCGTCCATCCACCCACAGTAGTGTTTCAACAGGTGAAAGGCCCACGTCGCAAAGACCCAAAGACCCAAAAGCTAACTGAAATCGCAAAAGGCCACACCCACTACTTGGACTCTGTTCCTACTTTTCCTATTTGGGCATGGGTCAAAACTAAACCACCGGGGACCGCAGGTTTTAGTCCTTGGTTCCAATTTCGATTCCAAAGCGCAGGCTTTTGAGTTTCTGCCAGGCAGCGCTTCAGGAGCGTATTCAAACGGCGATGGTCCAAGATCCCATACCTCAGACTCACTTGCGCCCACAACCCACTGACTGCTGGTTCTACCAACATGGTTCTGCAGCTTACGCAAGGTTGCTTTGAGATTCCAGTATACCGAGACGTAGAACCCTCCACATCGACCAATAGAAGATTTGTGCGGTCACTTGCACGGCACCCGGTACACATGGCATGACTACGGGAACGCAGGTGTCACAAATTAATTTCGCTAAGACCAAGTCCAAACCCATGGGCAACCCTAGCCTCAAAGCTTCACCAAGAAGCTCAGACCAGAATCGTGGAGAATTAGCCAACATGGAAATCAAATGGAGCATCAAAAAAGAGTATGACTTCAAACCATTCAACCTAAACCCGGCGAATTTTGGCGGAGTTCTGAGAACCTCGACAAAGGACTGGTAACGAAAAGAGGATCTTCAGCAACAGCAAAGGTATGCCTCAAATGAATAATGTTTGCAGTATCATTCTTTCATTGACCATCCCGCCCGCCCAAGCTTTTGGAGGAAAACGGGGAGAATGGGGTAGCATTGAGGTAGGTTTTCTTCCAAAATGAACCCTAGACTAGCAGTGAGTTTCACCGTGCGATTCATTGGCTCAGCCCTGAGCCACTCGCGACTGCCCCATGGCTAATGCAAAGCACACACTTGCATCTGCCATCCATTGGAAACGTAGTGTCAGAACTTCCCAGAGTTCACATTTTGACTGCCCTCAGCTCGGTGCCATTCCCAACCAAAGGACGTCAAAAGCGCCGCCACAACCATTGTGACAGGTGCGTATCCAAGAGGCATAAACAAAGCGGTGATCAGCAGAATGCCGACCATCATCCTCAATGGGCCCGTTGAAAGCAAATGAAAGCAAAGAATCCAGACAACCCCCGGAGAAATCAACCACCTGGATTACCGGTTCCAATCCAAAATCACGGAGAACATCGAACCAGAGGTTTTTTCCGATTGGGGGTTCCTCAAAAACAAAGGAGTGTCAACATTCAACCAAGGAACTCCTCGCCTACAGTCTAGCGCTCACGTCGAAGGTCCGTGCTCCCACCTGTCCTTGTCAAAGCATGACTCCTTACTACGACATTGCAATAATCCCTCCAAACTTGGCTGTACTTCGCTGTGATTCCATGTGAGTCACTCTATTCCACCTAAATTACCTCTCTACCGCGGGAAAAAACCGCAGGCACCTGTCCCAACACCCAGGAAAGGCTTAAGCGTCCGGAACGATGCCAAGACAACCAAAGGGCAAGTGAGGGACTGAAAAGACCGATCAACGCCCATTTTCCGAGGCAAAGGTTGGGAGAACAAACTAGCGGGGATGCGGAGGAAGCGGGGACGTGTGGGGATTCCCAAAGAAAAACCATGTCGCAATATGACCCGATTGTCTTCGCCCACATCCCTGCTTCCCCCACATCCCTGCTTATTTGCTTGTCTGGAAAGGGAAAAAGTCTGCTGAGTCTCACAACCCAGACCGGTCTCATTCATAAGTTCAGACGTCGGTTGAGACGGTCATAAGTTGGAAACCATAACGTTGGTTGGTTTCGTCAGAACAATCATTATTCCAGGGTTTCTTAGGTGGTGTTAAATGGATCTCGTCCATCCACAGCATCACGCCATTTCCCTTTTGGGAACGCAACACGTTCCTTTGTCCATCCATTTGATGTTAAACAACATAATACACCCATCAACAACTCTGCACGTCCACCGAAAGGCCAAGGGCAAATGAAGGGGCGCTCCTGACATCAGTCTTTGGCGCGTCCAGGACTTTGATCTTCTTGAAGTCCTTGCAGGGGTGCGATCGGACACGCTGCGCCAAGCACAACATAATTAATGCCGCTGATGGCCGGCAATGCAATACGTTGCGTCTGGCTTTAGGCTTTGGCATCGCCTATGCAGTACATTTCATCTGACGATTCGTTGTTTTTGGGCAACAAGGACCGTGCAACATGAAACATCATGTAGCATGTGTCCCTCACTCTTCGGGTTTTGTCCCCGTGGTCATCCCGTGCTGACGGATCATGTGTCGAGTGTAAAACTGCTGGGTGCTGAAAGAACACGATGCAAATTATGGTTGGCATCACTTGAACTATCATGGAACTGCGCAAATTGCGATAGCCGCTGAAGTGGAAAGAAGATATCCTCAAAGGGACCTTCGTTAAATGCATGACTGCGCGTGTCCTGGGGCATGAGAGTCTCCTCTGGGGGATCCTCAGCGGGGTCCAGCGGAACGATGACCACCTGGATGGATTGGACACGTGTCAAAACGTGGCGTCCGTTGCCGTCCAATTGAAGGACATCAACGTACATATTCCGTGAAGTTTTTCGAGGGGCTCACCCATCTGAGGAAACACACAGAACAAGTACACAGAATAAGGCCCTGCTCACAATTGGGAATTATTGTTTGTCACTTGCTTGTTCTCCGGAAAACAAAGGAAACCAAAAACAAGGGAAGGACGCCACTCAGGCGTCGTGCGTTTGTGAACGTGAAACAGCTCATTTGCTAAACGCACGCCCATGTTAAGCTGCAAAAACAAGTTGATCAGCCGCTCACTCTTGCTCATTGACCGCACACGTTTCTCTGTCACGGGCCCGGCTTCAGCCGCCATGACCCTTGCCAAGGGCTGAAACATGTCTTTTTCTGAGATTGCCTCCACTAGCAACTAGGATCACCGACGCCGCTATGACCTTTGCCAAGGCGTGAAACATGTCTTTCTTCTGAGACTGCCTCCGCTGCCAACTACGAACATGCAAAATTAGCTCAGGGGAAATGACCCGGCTATGCTTCATGGTCGTGCGCAGCTCCTTGGGGACCCACTTCTTCATCGCTTTCCACGCGGCATCGGCACATTGCGCACCCGCAAGCTTGGAGGACTTGGAGTGAGGCTTTCGGTGCACGTGACGCACAAACTCCTGCTTCACGTGCTTCACTTGCGCCGCCTTCAGCTGCCTCTGCTCAGCCTTTGCAGCGCTTGACCACGCTGGAGCACCGTCACTGTAAAGCACTGAGTGACGGCGGACCTTGCTCATGATGCCGCTGGCATTGATGCCATCCAGGCCTCGAACTCAGAGCCAAGATGTCATCTCCAGGACGGACTTGCTGAAAGGCGCCGATGACGCAGATGAACTTTGAAGTGGCTATCTCCGCGGACCAGGTCGAAGACTACGATCCTACCCTCACGGTCCTCAGCCTGGCGTCAGCTTCCACAGGGCCTGCCAAGCGAGTCCGCGCGTTCAAGGCCTTGCGTTAGCCACCAGGTTCACGGCTGAAGTAGCGCTGCTGGAAGTTAAGCCCCAGCCAATGTTGTCTGGAAACACCGACCCCAATGACCCCAAGGACAACGCAAAGGACACTCTGTGGCAGCCTCCTTCTGAGCACTTGTAGAGAACATGCGTGGACTTGGCCTTGCTGTTGTCATACAATCAGCCGCGACCGCACGCTCCGCAGCGACCGGGCTTGTTCAAGCCCGCATCCTTGAGCTCCAGGTGGTGCTTGGCAATGAGCCCGGCCGCAGCTACTGCGGGGGCTTGGCTCGTCTGAGGCCTTGTAGCCGCGCTTCTTTCCACCTGCTGCAGCGCAGCTGTAGTCCTTGGTGGCTTCTTCGCACGGGGCACGCCAAAGCGCTCCTTTTTTCTGCCGGTGTCCTTGCGCTACTGACCTGCAGACTTCCTGCGCAAGCGAAGCAGTTCTTTGTACCGCTGCGCCTCGCAACTTGCACTTCTTCATTGTGGCCACGAGCTCCACAGAGGCAGCAGCCATGCACTTGCTTGGTGTGCCTAGACGGAGGCATCCCAGCACACCAATGAACAGGCCACATCTCCAGCCAAGCTCAAGGGAGCTTTTTCCACTCTGCAATGGTAAGTTTTCTTTTTCCACAACATCGCTGCCGCGGGCACTTCAACAAGGGCCCGCGGCTGCCCAGAAGTGGCTAAAAAGCTCGCGCAGCCCGGAGCAGAATTGCTCGGCTCCAGAAGCCGTGTCTTTGTAGGCTTTCGCGAGGCGGGTGGCAAGACTAGATTGCTGCGGAGAGCTGCAGCTGCCAGGCTGGCGCCAAGGTCTATCAGAGGCGTCTTGCAGAGCAAGGCTCGAAGCCGTTTTCGAACACAGCGCGGGCCCACTCCGGAATGTCACAGCCGACTCCGTCTGCAGTGGCATGCGATCGCCACAAGTCAAAATAGAGAGGAAGAAACGACAACTCCAAGAAGTCGACATTCACCACGTTCATCTTGACTTCTACTCCGAGGGGTTTCAGGAAGAGGGCCCCGCGGGCTGCTGCCATCCGTGCTGACCTGTCCAGCCGACACGCTGGAGAAGCAGCAGACACCAAGACGCCTTGCCTCCCGCGAGGACAAGACCAGCCGCATCAGCCAGCCCAGGAGTTGCGAGAACCTGCGCCGCGGCACGATCGAGACGCGCGCTCTCAGCACCAGCGTGTCCCAGGGCAGTTGGCCTGCGCGCTGGTCACGCAGTCCGAAGACAACATCTTAAGCGGCTGCCAGCATGTCACACCCGTCTGTCTCACATAGTAGCTTGTGGCAGTCATCGAGCTCAACGCACGGGAAACAAGCTTTCCAACATGCGGATTAAGTGGAAGTAGGGCAGCAGCTGCCAGCCAACCTCAGAATGATGACGTTCCGCAACGGAGCCACGAAGCTCCACAAGTCCATGACGGCTCTGGCAGAAGAACAAGGAATGGCGAGAGTCAGATGCTCGCAAGCTGCAAGACCAAGTTTCTCCCAGCAAACAGAAACGCCCAAGACACCCCCGGGGACCTCAAAACTAAGAGAGTGTTTGTGCAAAAAAAACTGATGACATACAAACAGTGACGAGATCAGATGCTCTGCAAACTGTGAGACCAATCTTCTGTCAGCCAGCAGAAACAGCCCCTCAAACCTTTCCGGGGGTCCTTAAAAACTTAGAGGGTGTTTGAGCAACAAATGAAAAACAAACAATGCCGAGAATACGATCCTCGGCAAACCTGGCGTGTCGTCAACATCGAACGCTGCTACCCATGCCCCCACTCCCCCCCCAAACACCGTACATGATGCCTTGCATCTTGTCAACATCGAACGTTTCTACCCCTTGCCCCCCCCTCCCCCCGGGCCCCCCCAAACAACATCGAACGTTACTACCCCTCCCCTCCTCCCCCCCCCCCAAGCAACGTACATGATGCCTTGCATCTCGTCCACATCGAACGTTGCTACCCCCCCCCACCCCCCGCCCCGCAAACTTCGCACATGATGCCTCCTTGCATCTCGTCAACATTCCCCCCCCCCCCCCCCCCCCCCCCCCCCGCCCCCCCCAAACAACGTGGCATTTCGTCAACATGCAACGATGCTGGGTTTGCTGGCAGGGACACGACGCCCTCGTGGCGTGCCCACCAAAAACAACTCACCCCTTTCACACCCTTGAAGGCACAACATCTGAAAACTGAACACCCCTGCCAAAAGCTTAACTTTGTGGTGTAAATACGGAAACCCAACCACCAAACCAACTAAAAACACAACAAAAAACCCTCTCTGGAACCGCATGGCTGGGAACCGCCAAGATAATTTCGCCACCTAACAATTGAACACGATATCTCTCATTCTGACCCATTACTCCTATTTTTAGACTTGACCATTGGTAGCAACCCCCGACCCTCATGTGTTGCCCCGTCATAATTGCACCATCTATCTTCCATTTGCTTAAGCCCCCGGGAAAAAAAAACAACAAACTATTTCCAGCAGTGATAGAATTCTTTTAAAGCCAACAGAAAAACAAAAAAAACAAAAAACATGGGGAAAATAACAATATGCATAAATATTCATAAACACATGGAAGCTACCCAGATCCTTCGGCGAAACTGCTCGAAAACGCGCCTTCAGTGCCTTGTGACGGCCCTCCTCGTCGTTGACCACCTCCTGCGCCAAAGCAACCGATGGCGCAAGGGGAAGCTTGGGTTTTGTCGATTGTCTGGGCCCGATGCGCTGTTCTCAAAATTGGAGTCTCAAAATTGGCCCCATGTTTCTTTGTTTCTCAAATTTGGAGTCCCTTGGATGAATTGAAGGGGAAGCCAAACGGGTGGTGCTTTTTTGGGTGTATCGGCCCTATGCACTGGCAGCCATACCTACGCAGAGCGTTCGCGGGTGCGCAAAAGCATGGCAGGGTGATACGCCGCAACAAGCACCTACGTGGAGAGACTTTTCTCGGGCGCTGCTCTTAAGCCTTGTGCACGCAAAACATACCTACGCGACCCTGCCTACGCAGGATTTTCTTGAACAGCCGTGGAGTGCCTAAATGTTGCAACTGCTCTTGCACCTGGCTGTCAGCGCCATAGGATTGCCCCAAGTTGCCACAGAGCCGTCACGCAGAACGGCCAAAGCAAACCAAGTTGCTTGGATTTGCTTGACCTGCTGTCCCCGTCGGCCCGGATTGAGAGCCGTGGGCCCGGATTTGGTGCACATCCAGCAACTGCCACCCCGCCTTGAGAGCAAGTCAGAGCCTTCGACAAGCGCGAAGGCGTGGGTCAAAAAATAGGTACTCAAAATGGAACCCTGGCAAATGGAACTTACCACTAAACTCTGCAGTCGCCTGTTTAATTTTGAAGCTAGCTTCACCGTCTGCGCGAATGCGGTTCCACAGTTCTACCGCCCCCCATCTTGCAGGCACGCCCCACGTCAGCCAAAGCGCGCCAGTTGTCCAGCTTTTCGCTTCCAAACAGGAGCCTCGAGCGCTTCTGCCAAATGCTCGACGATTTGCCAGTGCTCGCCGGAGCTCCCGCGGTTTGCAGGTACACATGCCATTGCGCGCCGAGTTTGCCGGTTGCAGGTTGCAAGGGCCTCTCAACTCGGCCACTTGGCAACCGCAACGAGAAAGCTGAAGGTACAGTCGGACAGGCACTTCCATTCCAGCCAGAAGATGGTTTGCCCTTAGGCACCAAAGCTCCCGCGGCAACCAGGCTCCAAAACACCAGACGCGCAGAGCACATACCAATGCTTGCTTCAAGGAGCGACAGGAGTCCGGCTGGGTAACCCCGACTGGTAACTCAGGTTCCAGGTTCCAGGTTCCAAAGCCACGTGGATTCGGATCGGCCAACGGGCTCTCTGTGTGTGACCGCATGTGACCGGGGTTTGTGTGCCAGCTTTCCATGGACTGAGTCTTTGCCATCCAAGCCCAATCTCAGCTCTCTTGGAGTCCAGCGGATCCAAGGATCTACCGCCTTGGTGAAACCTCAACCTCTCTCTGATGCCATGGGGTCATTCTTGTTGGTATCAGAAGAAGCACGAAACTAATGCAACACCATGGTCTCAACCATAATTTGCAAGTGGTGCGATGTCTGGGCTTCGCAAGACCCTCCCACAGTCTTCCCTCTGAACGCGCAGCAGGCGAAACCGCCTTTGACAAACCCTCGCCTTGATGGTGCCCACGGTGCCCCGCGGGTAGTTCTCCAGCTGGTGCACCAGCTCCAGGAGATCCCCTGGAGCCGGGGGCCAAAGGTCAGCATGTGGCCATGGCTCAAAATCCAAAGCCCGGTTGGCCCCCAGTGAACATCCCCATCCCCACTAAAATAGACATGGGTGGTGCGCCTACCCCAAAATGGTACCAGCCATGTGGGCTTTTCTTGGGGTCCCTCAATTTGCAGAGTCGTGGCTGACGTGGGAAAGACATTGGCAAACCCTGGACCCCAAGTATTTGAGTCACAATCGGTACTAAAATGGTTGACCCAGCACCATGTAAGGAAATACACAGGTGGCGGCAGCTGTTTCTGGCTGGGACTGTCCCTTACTAACCTTATCTACCCGGGTGTTGATTGTGGCTCACGTGGGGAACCTCTGCGACTCCCCAAATTTGGTTGGCCATGTTCATTCGGGGAGTGTGGCCCGAACGAGCCGATTTCCGGCCAGCGGGGAACAAGGCAGGCGATGGATGCCCTGTTTTTGGGACGACAGGAGACACGGAAGTTCACCAGCGCCAAAGATTCCCGCGGAACAGGGCACCTCACACCGCCCGAAACAAGGTTAAGCCGACATTTACGAGGGACTCATACAGTAAGTGCCTGTGGGAAGAAACGCAAGCCCTGCAATTTACAATGGTTTCGGGTGAGACCTACTCATGATCACTGGGCATAAAAAGGAAAGTTGCACACCCAGGGCTGTATGCTCGGTTTTGCCAAACAATTGAGTGACTAGGATGGGGGGTTCAAGCCTCGGCAACACTCCAGAAAGCTCCGCCCTAGCTTCAACGGCTCTTCACTTGTTCAGCTAACGGATGGGTCAACCAGCATCCAACGCAGCTCCCTTTGCCCGTCCCCGAAACGGTGCGTAAGATTGACACACATATCCACGTCTCTTCCTTCCTGAATGGGAAGGTGCAAGAGCCGTTCTTTCGCTGAAGTCCAAACACCTGTTTCACTCAGCCTCAGCCGCATAAATCCGCAAGTTCCGCAGTTTGATTCAGGGCCACCAATTGTCTTGCAGGGTTTCATGCTTCTCAAAAACAACGTTTGTTCGATCAACCGAGGGAGGCGGTTGCATCTACTCAGGCGCCATGAAACGGGGTTTAGTAAATGGGTTCCAGGCTACACCAAAGACAATCAGGTGTCTAGCATCCTACAACCCATTTGTTAGGGCCCAAGTCTAAATCAGCTACTACCCAGCGTGCTTCCTTTCTGTGCATGCCCGGCACTTCTGCGCAGGCCCGGGTTCAACATAATAAGTCGCACCACCTCGCCATTCCGGGAACAGAGTTGCGTGGTTTTTCAACCAAGGAAACCCAGTGGCTGGTGCACATGTTGTGGATGGACGAAATCCTGCACCACCTAGGAAACCCTGGAATGATGATTCCCCTGAAAAACACCCCAAAAAGGTTTCAACCATGGTTTCCAAGTGGTGCGAAGTGGATTTTGTCCAACCATGATGGACTTACCCTTCACCAAACACAAAAGGCAGCTCCTCCCGCCTTCCTTGAACCTGGCGCCCTTTTCGTAGCAGGCCTCCGGATGCAACCGACCAATCACATTATAGACAATTTGTTGTTTTGCACCAAATGTTGTATCCCCCTAGACCACCCAAGATTGCGCTCTCTATTGCTTTTATGCAAGGCAGGGTGTTCCTGAAAAAAAACAAGCGCCTTGTGTAAACAAACATGTCTGAGATCTGTTCCCACAACACCGCTTGCGCTCGGGGGGGTTCTTAGGAATTGGAGCTGGCTACCCGGGCTACCAACCAGAAGGCCTTTGGGCTCGTCCGCACGGGGAATCCTCAAGTGTTGCGTTCCGTCCGGAACCCATGGCTCCTACCCAGACTCCAGTAGGCGCAATTGGTATCTGGAGTGTTTGGCTGAACTGAATGAGCCTGAGCCCGAGCGTTTTGGGGGGCCTCCAAGAACAGCCTAAACCCGGCAAGATCCAGGAGTATTGCCAGTGTGGAGCAAAGGTCACTTCAAAACATCATAGGCTCATTCCACACTTAATTGTTACATGTACAACACTCTCCAAGTTTACAGTTGGGCTTAGCCAGTGACGCAGTCTCATATTCACGAAAATCATAAATGCCCCAAGGTCCCTCTCAGCCTCTACCGTCACCTTGTGTTTTCTTTGGAAAACCATAAGTTTCTCCTTTTAAACCCCGTCTCGGTCTTAGTCTAGTATGTCTGAATTTCGCGTGTGACTGATGTTTCAGGGGCATATACTGTGAATTTCAAAGCTGCAAGCAAACCAAGCCTTAGCAAAGCGATTCACGGGAGAATCCCGTCCCTACTCGTAATATTCAACAATCAAGCATCCAAAGCGCACTTCATAATTACAACTTTCACGGTAGCAAGCTCCACAACGGCTTCTCATGACATAAACTTTGGCTGGC